ACGTTTTAGCCTCTAAAACTGTACTCGGGAGCTTGTTCCACTCATCCACAAACCAGTGCTTTCCTATATCCTTCCTGAATCTGAATTTTTCCAACTTGAAAACATTGCTGCGAGTCCTGTCTTGGCTGGAAATTTTCATCACGCTATTTACATCCCCTTTATTAATTCCTGTTTTCCATTTATACACCTCGATCATATCCCCCGTAATTCTACGCCTTTCTAGAGAGTGCAGATTCAGGGCCCTCAGTCTATCCTCATAGGGAAGGTTTCTGATACATGGGATCATCTTTGTCATTCTCCTCTGTACGTTTTCCAGAGCATTTATATCCATTCTGTAATACGGTGACCAGAACTGAGCAGCATAGTCTTGATGAGGCCTAACCAAGGATATATAGAGTTGAAGAACACCCTAAGGACTTCTATTATTTATACTTCTAGATATGAAGCCAAGGATTCTGTTAGCTTTATTATGAACACTAATGAACTGTTGTCTTGGTTTTAGATTACTGCTAACCAGAACTCCTAAATCCTTTTCGCAATCAGTAGTATTAAGATCTACATTATTTTGTTTATATGTCGCATGGCTATTTTCCTGTCCAACATTTAGAACTTTGCATTTGTCTATATTAAACTACATCTGCTACTTCTCTGATCACTGCATCAGTCTATTTCATCCTGCAGTGCTCTAGTGTCCTCATTAGAATGAATTGGACGGTCTGTTTTGGTGTCATCAGCAAATTTGCTTATGTCGCTATTTATTCCCTCATCTATGTCGTTTATGTAGATTGTGACCTAAAAACTGAGAGGAAGTAAGTGATGAAAAGTTCACACATTTCATTATCACTGTCAGTGATCTGACCCGAGTTACTCTTAAGTGGACCTATCTTGTCTCTAATCTTGCTCCTGTATACCTGAAAGAACCCTTTTGGGTTAGTCTTGGAATCCCTTGCGACTTTAGCCTCATAATCCCTTTTTGCTTTCTTATTCCTTTTTTTTATTTCTCTCTTTAATTGAATAAACTGATGTCTTAACTGCCCATCCCGTCTTTTAATACGCCTATATATGCCTCTTATTTGACAATGAGATGTTTTAATCTATTGTTTATCCATTTGGGTTCATTTTTGTAGTATCTAATTTCCCTACTCGGAATGAAAGTTTGCACAGCTATAACTATGCCCTGAAAAACGTCATATTGGTAACCAATACCACCTACCTGATCCATAGTCAGGACATCCCAATTTAGCCCACCCAGGTAATTTCTCAGTCCCATGAAGTCATCCAAGCAGAAGTCTGGGACAGAGACTTGATTGCAGTTATCTGGGTAATTCCACGATATATTGAAACTAAGTTATTTGTTATCACTTTCCCCAAGCTCATCATTAACCTCAAGATTATTAATTAGTTATTCATTGTTGGAAAGAACCAAGTCAGATAAGATAAGATAAGATTTCCTTCGGATTTTAAACCCCGGAGGGTTAGCCACCCTGGATAACCCAAGAAAGTCAGTGCGTCATCGAGGACTGTCTAACTTATTTCCATTGGGGTCCTTAATCTTGTCCCCCAGGATGCGACCCACACCTAGTCGACTAACACCCAGGTACCTATTTGCTGCTAGGTGAACAGGACAACAGGTGTAAGGAAACATGTCGAAATGTTTCCACCCGCCGGGAATCGAACCCTGGCGCTCCGTGTGTGAAGCGGGAGCTTCAGCCACCAGGCCACCGGGCCACCGTAGATTGTTTCCTCTAGTTGGTTCTGTCACAACCTGTTCTAAAAAGCAATCCTGAACCGTGTCAAGAAAGTCACATTGTTCCAGTCAATTCGTTTAAAGTTAAAATCTCCCATTATCACAACATTTTCATATCTAGACGCCTTATGAATTTCGTCCCATAACAGCTTACTGCACTCCCTATCAAGGTTCGAGGGGCCTCTAAATCACACCGAAAATTAATTTGTCACGACCCTCGAGAAACTGTAGCTAAACAGATTCTGTGTCTGATGTTTCTAATCTTATATCATGTCTAAGAGAACAATTTAAATTATCTCTGACATACATCGCCACTCCACCACCCTTCCTGTTGACCCTATCAGTGTGGAATAGTTTATAACCCTGTATGTTGCATTCAGAAGGCATTTCTCTATCTTTCAGGTTGAACCAGGTCTCTGTTATAACAATAATATCTATATTACTTTCACTTGCAAGTAATCTTAACTCATCTATCTTATTTCTTAGACTCCTACTATTTATATAGTAAACCTTAAGGGAGCTAGTCACTCGTTGCCCTGAACTATCTCTCTTGTTTGTTGATCAATTACTTTGCCTTTACTAGCAACTTTATTTTGAATATTGTCTTTTAAACATATCCCTGAGGTATCCTGGTAATATCTGCTGTTTTCAACCCTAATGCTTCAGCCTGATTGTTTCCCACAATCACCCATCCTCTATAATCTATCAGTTTAAAGTCCTAGACAAGTCATCAATTATCCTCTCAATCGAACTGGCTAATGCAACCACTCCAGCCCCAGAGAGAAGAACCCCATCCCTTGCATACATATCACGTTTGCCATAGAATTTGTCCCAGTTATCAATGAATGGGATTGCAAGTTCCTTGCAGCACCTGTCTAGCCAGCAATTTATACCAATTGCCCTAGACATCCATTCATTGCTCATTACTTTTCTAGGCAAGATGCTACATGCGATTGGGATCCCTCCCTTAGACCTGACTACTTCTATGGCTGACTTGTACTTATCCAGCAGCTCCTGTTGCCTGCCCTTCATACCTCACTGTTGTTGCTTGGAGGACTTCATACCTCACTGTTGTTACTTGGAGGACTTCATACTTCACTGTTGTTGCTTGGAGGTCATCATACCTCACTGTTGTTGCTTGGAGGACTTCATACTTCACTGTTGTTACTTGGAGGACTTCATACCTCACTGTTGTTGCTTGGAGGTCTTCATACCTCACTGTTTGTTGCTTGGAGGTCATTCATACCTCACTGTTGTTGCTTGGAGGTCTTCATACCTCACTGTTGTTGCTTGGAGGTCTTCATACCTCACTGTTGTTGCTTGGAGGTCTTCATACCTCACTGTTGTTACTTGGAGGACTTCATACCTCACTGTTGTTGCTTGGAGGTCTTCATACCTCACTGTTGTTGCTTGGAGGAATCCTTTCATACTACTCACTTTGTTGCTTGGAGGTCTTCATACTCACTGTTGTTGCTTGGAGTCTTCATACCTCACTTTGTTTCTTGGAGTCTTCATACCTCACTGTTGTTGCTTGGAGGTCTTCATACCTCACTGTTGTTGCTTGGAGGTCTTCATACCTCACTGTTGTTGCTTGGAGGTCTTCATACCTCACTGTTGTTACTTGGAGGTCTTCATACTCACTGTTGTTACTTGGAGGTCTTCATACTTCATTGTTGTTGCTTGGAGGTCTTCATACTTCATTGTTGTTGCTTGGAGGTCATCATACTTCATTGTTGTTACTTGGAGGTCATCATACTTCATTGTTGTTACTTGGAGGTCATCATACTTCATTGTTGTTACTTGGAGGTCTTCATACCTCACTGTTGTTGCTTGGAGATCTTCATACTTCATTGTTGTTACTTGGAGGTCATCATAAGTCATCGATCAACGTTGTAATAATAATAATTATAGTAATAATAATATAATAATAATAATAATAATAATAATAATAATAATAATTATAATAATAATAAATAATAATAATAATAATAATAATAATAATAATAATAATAATAATAATAATAATAATAATAATAATAATAATAATAATAATAATAATAATAATAAAGTAATAATAAAAAAATAATAATAATAATATTATAAATAAATAATAATATATAAATAATTAGTAATAATATATAATTTAATAATAATAATAATAATAATAATAATAATAATAATAATAATAATAATAATAATAATAATAATAATAATAATAATAATATTTTTATTTACTACAAGACAATAACAAGGTATACAGTCCTAGCTGACATCAATGACATACTACTATACAGAAAACCGCTTGTTATGCTGAGCGTTTCGGGCAAATTAGGTCAGTTTTGTCCCAGGATGCAACCCACACCAGTCGGCTAACTGATGAGTGAACATAGACAACAGGTGTAAAGAAACACTGCTATTGTTTCTACCCTGGCTGGGAATCGAACCCAGACCCTCGCCGTGTGACGCAAGAGCTTACTGATTACCTCAACTACTCATCTTCCAACTTTTTTTTTTTACATTATACTGAAGAAGATACTGATTGGCGAAACGTTTCCAAAATAAAGATACCGATATGTTGCCCAATTGTCTATAGCCACCAGAGCCCCAGATTGTGGAAATATAAGAGAGCAACATTTCTCACTTAAACCTTTTCGGATGAAGATTTTTCCCATTTTTTTTATAATGAACTCCGTAAGAATTATCCGGGAAACTCATTAGGGCTTTACCTGTGATTTACCAATGATCAGTTTCGAGAGTTCTCCTTGTCTCCCGGCCCGTCCTGGGGCCAGGCTTCACTGTGGGGATGTCGTCAAGTATTGCACAATGGGATCAGTAGCTACGGTATCGTCAAAAATTTAGTTCATCAGAATTGGACTTGTTGTTGTAAGGAAAAACAGATATCTCAAGTTGATATATCACACACACGGAAACAGAAATTTATGAAGATATCGTGAAGAATATTTATTTTAATATTCTTATGGTGCATCTCAATCCATTTTTTTCCTCATGAAAACTTCCTTCACAATACTCTCAGTGGTGACAGTTTTCCCTAGCTCAAAAAAAAAAAGTTGCTTAAATATAAATTTTTGTTCTTCCAAGATTTAGTGCTCCTGGAGACTATAAGTGAAATTAAAAGTAATTATATGCATTTTAATACCCTCTGTTTTGTTAAGGATGATAGGAAAATATGACACTGGAAGCAGGAAGCTCGTCTTTGTTAATAATGTGTGTTGTTTCTGCTCCTGTGCTGCACCACAGTGGAAGGTCGTATTGCTAATGAGCTCCGCGAGTGTTGTCCTCCAGTTGACGGAGGCGCAGAGCGGAGCAGAGAGCTTATCCTTCCACGGCTACATTCCTCGTGAAAATGTCAGGTACGTCATCTTTCTTAATTGTATGTTATCTAAGTCTCTCTCTCTCTCTCTCTCTCTCTCTCTCTCTCTCTCTCTCTCTCTCTCTCTCTCTCTCTCTCTCTCTCTCTCTCTCTCTCTCTCTCTCTCTCTCTCTGCAGCCTCCTACCCTATCATCTCCTTCCTACAGTATTATATTTTATCCCCTCAGAGTTCTCCTAACTCCCCAGGTTGTGTCCACTGCTGCCTTGGTGATGTTCATTTCGCAAATGACTTGTCAACTCCCTGAAGATCCTTTCGACATCATGTCGACTTTTCCAGCTCCCTGTAAACCTTCCTAGCTCCCTTTAGACCTTTCAGCTCTCTGTAAACCTTTCCAGTTTCATGGAAAGGTTTTCCTTTCCAGTTCCCTTCAGACCTTCTAGCACCCTGTCCAACTTCCGGTAGACTTTCCAGCCCCCTGTAAACTTTTCCAGTTCCCTAAAGACTCTTCCAGCTTCCTGCAGCCTCTTTCGATGACCTGCAAATGTGTGATGAATGGTTTTGAAAACCGACAAGTTGAAGATTGAGACACTTATGTAACATATGGGAATCTTTACTGAGGAAACGTTTCGCCACACAGTGGCTTCATCAGTCCAATACAAGGCACACATCGACTCCAGGCTGAGGGACTGATTACCTCAAACTCCTCCTCTTCTTGCACCTTTCTGCTTTGTACTGGACTGATGAAGCCACTGTGTGGCGACACGTTTCCTCAATAAAGATTCCCATATGTTGCATAAGTGTCTCAATCTTCTATCTGCAAATCCTTGTAACTCGACGCAGAAACTGGAACAATTTACAAGGAATTCCCTCATGTACCATTCCGACTCCTCATGGATCGTTTCAATGTCAGGAGACCTTTCCAGCATCCTGGTGACCACTCTACTGTAACTGCCTGTACCTGGAGTTTACCTGGAGAGAGTTCCGGGGGTCAACGCCCCCGCGGCCCGGTCTGTGACCAGGCCTCCTGGTGAATCAGAGCCTGATCAATCAGGCTGTTGCTGCTGGCTGCACGCAAATCAATGTACGAGCCACAGCCCGGCTGGTCAGGAACCGACTTTAGGTGCTTGTCCAGTGCCAGCTTGAAGACTGCCAGGGGTCTGTTGGTAATCCCCCTTATGTATGCTGGGAGGCAGTTGAACAATCTTGGGCCCCTGACACTTATTGTATGGTCTATTAACGTGCTAGTGACACCCCTGCTTTTCATTGGGGAGATGTTGCATCGTCTGCCAAGTCTTTTGCTTTCGTAGTGAGTGATTTTCGTGTGCAAGTTCGGTACTAGTCCCTCTAGGATTTTCCAGGTGTTTATAATCATGTATCTCTCCCGCCTGCGTTCCAGGGAATACAGGTTTAGGAACCTCAAGCGCTCCCAGTAATTGGGGTGTTTTATCTCCGTTATGCGCCCCGTGAAGGTTCTCTGTACATTATCTAGGTCAGCAATTTCACCTGCCTTGAAAGGTGCTGTTAGTGTGCAGCAATATTCCAGCCTAGATAGAACAAGTGACCTGAAGAGTGTCATCATGGGCTTGGCCTCCCTAGTTTTGAAGGTTCTCATTATCCATCCTGTCATTTTTCTAGCAGATGCGATTGATACAATGTTATGGTCCTTGAAGGTGAGATCCTCCGACATGATCACTCCCAGGTCTTTGACGTTGGTGTTTCGCTCTATTTTGTGGCCAGAATTTGTTTTGTACTCTGATGAAGATTTAATTTCCTCGTGTTTACCATATCTGAGTAATTGAAATTTCTCATCGTTGAACTTCATATTGTTTTCTGCAGCCCACTGAAAGATTTGGTTGATGTCCGCCTGGAGCCTTGCAGTGTCTGCAATGGAAGACACTGTCATGCAGATTCGGGTGTCATCTGCAAAGGAAGACACGGTGCTGTGGCTGACATCCTTGTCTATGTCGGATATGAGGATGATGAACAAGATGGAAGCGAGTACTGTGCCTTGTGGAACAGAGCTTTTCACCGTAGCTGCCTCGGACTTTACTCTGTTGACGACTACTCTCTGTGTTCTGTTAGTGAGGAAATTATAGATCCATCGACCGACTTTTCCTGTTATTCCTTTAGCACGCATTTTGTGCGCTATTACGCCATGGCCACACTTGTCGAAGGCTTTTGCAAAGTCTGTATATATTACATTTGCATTCTTTTTGTCTTCTAGTGAATTTAGGACCTTGTCATAGTGATCCAATAGTTGAGACAGACAGAAGCGACCTGTTCTAAACCCATGTTGCCCTGGGTTATGTAACTGATGGGTTTTTAGATGGGTGGTGATCTTGCTTCTTAGGACCCTCTCAAAGATTTTTATGATATGGGATGTTAGTGCTATCGGTCTGTAGTTCTTTGCTGTTGCTTTACTGCCCCCTTTGTGTAGTGGGGCTATGTCTGTTTGTTTTTAGTAACTGTGGGACGACCCCCGTGTCCATGCTCCCTCTCCATAGGATGGAAAAGGCTCGTGATAGGGGCTTCTTGCAGTTCTTGATGAACACGGAGTTCCACGAGTCTGGCCCTGGGGCAGAGTGCATGGGCATGTCATTTATCGCCTGTTCGAAGTCATTTGGCGTCAGGATAACATCGGATAGGCTTGTGTTAACCAAATTTTGTGGCTCTCTCATAAAAAATTCATTTTGATCTTCGACTCTCAGTCTGGTTAGCGGCTTGCTAAAAACTGAGTCATATTGGGACTTGAGTAGCTCACTCATTTCCTTGCTGTCATCTGTGTAGGACCCATCTTGTTTAAGTAGGGGCCCAATACTGGACGTTGTTCTCGACTTTGATTTGGCATAGGAAAAGAAATACTTTGGGTTTCTTTCGATTTCATTTATGGCTTTTAGTTCTTCCCGCGATTCCTGACTCCTATAAGATTCCTTTAGCTTAAGTTCGATGCTTGCTATTTCTCTGACCAGTGTCTCCCTACGCATTTCAGATATATTGACCTCTTTTAGCCGCTCTGTTATTCTTTTCCGTCGCCTGTAAAGGGAGCGCCTGTCTCTTTCTATTCTACATCTGCTCCTCCTTTTTCTTAGAGGAATAAGCCTTGTGCATACATCGAGTGCCACCAAGTTAATCTGTTCTAGGCATAAGTTGGGGTCTGTGTTGCTTAGTATATCTTCCCAGCTTATATCGGTTAGGACTTGGTTTACTTGGTCCCACTTTATGTTTTTGTTATTGAAGTTGAATTTGGTGAATGCTGCCTCATGTCGGTCTGGGGCTCCATGCATACATGTCTGAACCTCAATTATGTTGTGATCTGAGTATATTGTTTTTGATATGGGGGACATTTCTTATCAGATCATCATTGTTAGTGAAGATGAGGTTTAGTGTATTATCCAGTCTAGTAGGCTCTATTATTTGCTGGTTTAAATTGAATTTTGTGCAGAGATTTAAAAGCTCGTGTGAGTGTGAGTTTTCATCAGAGCTGCCTCCTGGTGTTATTACTGCAACAATATTATTTGCTATATTCCTCCATTTTAGGTGCCTTAAGTTGAAATCCCCCAGGAGCAAGATGTTGGGTGCAGGAGCTGGAAGATTTTCCAGACAGTGGTCAATTTTTAACAGCTGTTCCAGGAATTGCTGGGATGTTGCATCCGGAGGCTTGTAGACTACCACAATGACTAGGTTTTGGTTCTCGACCTTTACTGCTAAAACTTCCACTACATCATTTGAGGCATTTAGCAGTTCTGTGCAAACAAGTGACTCTGCAATGTACAGGCAATTCTAACTTCTTGTAGACTCGTACAAGAATGGTATACAATACTGACTATGGTGCTCTTCGCACCTACTCCTAGGTTGAGGGACTGATTACCTCATCTTCTGTACATAGTTCTCCTGTCTTCAAGTTATGTCCTGGAATTTGTATTGATAAAGCCACTGGATGGCGAAACGTCTACAATAAAGATACCCAGATGTTGCACATGTGTCTCAATTTCATCTTCTTGTAGACTCTTTCGACTCTTTATAGACTCTTCCAGCTCATTGTACACCTTTCTAATAACATCATTTCGAAACCTTTAACAACTTCATTTACACGTCCTTTATCCTACTTTCTTTAGAAATTTATGTTTTGCTTTTACTAAAGCGTATGTTATTGTGCATTTTTGGTCAAAAAGTATGGAATCTTTTTCCTTTAATTAAAGATAGCACTCATTTCTTATTAGTATCGTAATCTTCTAGCACATCAGAAAATAGATAACGTAAGACCGTAAGAAAGGAGGAACACTGCAATAGGCTTGTTGTCCCATACTAAGCAGGTCCTTCACAAACCCAACCTACTAACAGAATAAATGCTACTCAGGTGCAAGTCCCATTCAAATCCAACCTCTCTCACTCACATAACCATCCAGCCTAAATTTGAAATACCCAAAGTTTTAGCTTCGATAATCCTACTAGGCAGACTGTTCCATTCACCAGTTACTCTATTATCAAACCAGTACTTTCCTATATCCTTTCGGAATCTAAATTTGTCTAATTTGAATCCATTATTGCGGGTTCTCTCTTGGAGGGATATCCTCAAAACCTTATTTATATCCCCTTTGTTAATACCCATCTTCCACTTATACACTTCGATCATGTTTCCCCTCATCCTTCGCCTTACAAGTGAATGTAGTTTAAATCTTGGTATAAACCTTGGTAATAAATACCGGCAAGTTGGTCTAGGAAGACATATTTATTAGGAAACGTTTCGGTCCTGAGACCTTGATCGCTTCTAACATACAGAGGTAGAAAGACATTATATATAGGCGGAGAGTGTGGTATGAGTGACACATGGTGACCTGAAAAATGCCATGTTGGGATGAGGACGGGTAGACGATGAGTTCATGTGATTCCTGTGTTGTTGGGTTGGTGGTGCTTAGCTACCACCATTAGCATACATGATACTTAAGCAGGCTAAGCATCACACACCCAACAACACAGGAATCACATGAACTCATCGTCTACCCGTCCTCATCCCAACATAGCATTTTTCAGGTCACCATGCGTCACTCATACCACACTCTCCGCCTATATATAGTCTTTCTACCTCTGTATGTTAGAAGCGATCAAGGTCTCAGGACCGAAACGCTTTCTAATAAATATGTCATAGTGTTTGCTTACGTGTCTTTCTAGACCAACTTGCCGGTATTTATTACCAAGGTTTATATCAAGATTTAAACTACATTCACTTGTAAGGCGAAGGATGAGGGGAAACATGATCGAAGTGTATAAGTGGAAGATGGGTATTAACAAAGGGGATATAAGGTCCCAGGACCGAAACTTTTTCTAATAAATATGTCATCGTGTTTGCTTACGTGTCTTTCTAAACCAGTTTAAATCTTTAATCTTCTTTTGTACGGAAGATTTCTAATGTTATGTATTAATTTAGCCATTATACGCTGAATGTTTTCCAACAAATTTATATCCATTCTGTAATATGGAGACCCGAATTGAGCTGCGTAATCTAGGTGAGGCATTACTAATGATGCATAAAGCTGTATTATAACTGCTGGACTTCTGTTGCTTACACTTCTAGACATAAATCCCAGTAATCTGTTTGCTTTATTACGTACGCTTAGGCATTGCTGTCTTGGTTTAAGGTTGTTGCTTACCATAACCCCCAAGTCCTTTTCGCAATCTGTATGGCTAAGTTCTACGTTATTTAACTAATAATTACTAAGGTCATGGACACTCCCGAGCTTCAGAACCTTGCATTTATCTACACTGAACTGCATCTGCCACTTTTCTGACCAGAATTGAGTTTGTTAAATCCTCCTGAAGTTTCGTGACATCTTCATTTTAATCAATTATCCCACCTATCATCGTGTCATCGGCGAATTTGCTCATATCACTAGTAATTCCCTCATCCAGGACGTTGGTATATATTATAAACAACAACGGGCCTAAGACTGATCCCTGTGGAACGCCACTTGTTACAAATCCCAACTCGGATTTAACCCCATTTAAGCATACTCTCTGCTTCCTATTGGTGAGCCATGACTCGATTCATGACAGCACTTTTCCCTCAATGCCATGAGCTGCCACTTTCTTTAACAGTCTCAGGTGCTTTATTTTATCAAAAGCCTTACAAAAATCTAAATAATATCAGCGCTTCACTGATCTCTTAATTCCAGAGGCCTTCAAATTTTCCAGTTAATCATTTTAGTTCTTCATATTTTCCTCTATAAATTCCTTTGGAGTTTTTATAGTCTTTCAGTTTTCCCCGTGCAACAAAGGGAGACCTTTATCAGTGAGTCGTTTCACCTACAGGAGACTTTATCGTGTACCTGATAAAGTCTCGTGTAGGTGAAACAATGTACTAATTAGTGTATTCTGAGCTACACCATACTTAACAATCATCTCCCTGTCCATCTTGCTTTTTCTCTTTACCACCTTACAAAATCACTGTAACTGGTCTCATAATTCTTCGTTTATGTTTCAAAAATGAATTGTCTTGCTAAAATAAAGACGATGAGTAATTTATTTAACAAAGGATTGTAAGCTATTTGAAAAAAATAATAGTTTTGTCTTTTGGGTTACGAGAAGAATAATAAATTTGTCAGCTTTAACGTCTTCTATAGTGAATTACCTCTTCTAAAATTTATATAAAATCGTATTCTTAGATGTACAGACAGTTTTTATCATTTCATATATGAGTTTAGTTTAAGGTGAATTAAACAGTCGCTAGAGCGACGGCCAAGTAAACTGTGTCAGGCTCTCCTTCATGTATTGTTATTGATCATAATATACGATTTCTTTAGGGCGAAGGCTCCCAGAGGTGACGGTCAACCCAATGACATTTACCTAGAAAATCCTCCCTCACTAAAAGACGGACAAGTGGTGTTCTACCCTCGTAACATCAATGGCCTCGACCTCGAGTACGGTCAGGACCCCGAGGAGCGCGTCTACCAGATCCACGACACAAACAAACTGCAGCACGACAAGATCAAGCGAGCTGCTACTGTCGTCGATATCTTCGTCCATCAAAACCCTTCCCTACAACAATAATAACGCTGCCCCTTCTCCTGCCTTCCTCCCGGGTTCACTAACCCCTCGTTATAGGCAAATCCCGTTCTGCCACAGCACTTTCTCTCCATATATCTTCTTCCCGTTGAATCCCTCCCAAATCATATCCTGCACTACCAGGATGCACATCTCACTTTTTAATATTTCAAAAGCAAATGCGTCAAAAGTGATTTCTTTCTTCTGCAGTCTAACTACTCTACCTTTCTGACATCAATTCCAAAAGTTTACCATAAAAATCCTTTCACATCCACTCCAGGAGTTGACTATCCAAACCCCTCAAGTCCACTCCAAGAGAGTTCATCATGTAATCCTCTCACTTCTAATATTCTGAGAGTCCACCATCTTAACCAGCAACATGATAAGAATATTTAAATTATCTTGTCCACAAAACATTATGGTCTCATTCTCTTTGCTTAAGATTACTTGAAGACTTCCTCGCTCGGGTACTCCTTCAGCTGATCAATCTAGTATTCGGACACTTTTTTTCTCCTCATCTCACATATAAACTCACCTGCCTAGTAAAGCCGACTTTCTCCTGTATTACATCGCCTTAAGACTAGAAGGAATCTCAAAACTTTATTTTGGACATTACATTTCCCAATTCTATTGAGAATTAATTTTATTACTTGAGTCATCTTTCAGACTCATCCTATGGTTGCCTCGCTCCAGTTCCTTAACGCTTTTGAAATAGGTGAAGGCATCATTTTTTCTGAACTCTTCTGGGTATTGCCCTTCTTGCATACCCCTCGGCACATTCTCAACTACGTTCATTCACCTGCAACGTCCATTAACAAATCCTTCACCTACCATTCACATGCAATTCTTCAATGAACCATCATTTGCACTAACATTCTAACGTTCTTCAATTCATCCTGCGTTACAAACATTCTCCAAGTAATCATTACATACTTTCCTTCAATACTACTTCCTGGCTGGATCAGCAAGGAGAAGTATTATCAACAAGGCATTATATATTTCCTTCTCATGTGATATCAATTAAGGTATTTATAAATTTGTAAATATATATTCATATATTCACACTCGCGTATAACTCCCAATATTTATAAGTCTGAAATGCACGCTTTATTTTGTATTATATACAACAGAAATATCCCTCCCAAAAAATCGTGTGTTTGGCGCCATAAGTAGTAGAGCTGAGTGGAAGAATGTTTGAGTGTCATTGTTTATATGAACGATGTGATGATGAAAATAAAAATACATAAAAATTAGCTTTGCTATCTATTTTCCTTTGCTATCTATTTATAAAGCGGTGAAGACGACTTGTGTTTAGTGAGCCTAATTTACAATCCTTCAGTTTATTTGTTCGGCATTAGATTGGCCTTGTTTCTCCCCGGCTGTGAGTTTGTCACAACACTGATATTATATTTCTCAAATACCTTAAACTTACTACAAAAGAGAACATAGTTTGAGTCTGCAACACAGCGAAACACAACGATAATACAGTTCCGTGTCAGTAATATAGAGTATTGACAATAAGAGATGTTTCAGTGGTTTGTAAGCTGCCTATAGAGCTTATGTTCCTCACCGGGAAATCAGATCAGTCAGATTTACCTAGAATGCATATAGAAATCTAAAGAACTGTGTTATGACAACAGTTTCAAAGAACTTCTGGGCTCACATAATATTGTTAACACCAAAGAAACTGAACTGACCAAACCTAACGAACCCTTCCTCAGCCAGACTGCAGATACAGTAAATAAACTTAAAGACTTCTTATCAACTATACAGACTAACCTTGCTAAAAAAGATTCTAAGATCTATTATTCACGTTAATAATTATCTTAGTGACAAAGCTTCGTCTATCTGTCACCAACGAATTCTCTAAGGTTAATTTCGATATTAAATACATTAACAAACGAAGCAGGTTAAATATAAGAGATCTGCCAAAGTGTTATCACCTGTTATTGTAACTTTGTTTAATAAATATCTTGAAACAATAACGTCCCATAACATTATTAAGCTAGTACAAGTTATCTTAATCAAGAAAGATTGAGACCGAATTGAAATCAACAACCAGAGACTGATTTTTAACTTATTATCTAAAATCTTTGGAATGATAATATATAAACAAGTATATAACAGTTTGTCTTCAGGACAGGAAAGAGCTGTCATAAAGATGCTAGTTTCTGTTAAGTAAAAAGACATATACAATTAATGCTAATCTTAGTCCTGGCTTCGTCTCTGTAGATGCCTTCCTCTCCCACTACATTGTAAAATGCTCCAAACTTCAGAACACCCATGACTTAACCTGATTCCTCCTTTTTCTTCTTCTCCCTCTTCCCCTTCCTCTTTCCCTTTTGTCTACTGGTTTGTCTTTGTTTCTTCTGCCTTGTGTTTCTGTTCCTTCATTATTTATTTTATTATTCCCCCCCCCACCTCTGTGTTCTTGCTCTCCCTCTGTGGGCACCTAGCTCCCTTGCAGTGCTCCTTTTTCTTAGTATTTGACTGGCTCCTCCTTCTTTCTTCCCTACCACTACTTCCTTCCACCTCCGCCACTACTACTACCACCACCACCACCCCCCCACTACTACTACTACTACTACTACTACTACTACTACTACTACTACTACTACCACTTCCTGCCTATATATACCCGTACTGCTCTACTTCTCGTTAGCTAGTAAGGCCCTTGCGGGCCTCTACAAGCTGAAACATGCCTCTCAACGCACCAAACTACACCTCTACAAATCCCTTATACGTCCTCTGATAACTTACTTTCCTCTAGCCCTCTCTCTTGCAGCAAAAACAAACTTACTTAAACTGCAGCGTGTCCAGAACAAGGCGCTGCGCTGGGTGCTTGATGTCAGATGGGAGGACTTCGCCACATGCGAGTCTCTACATGCCCAGTTAGACATCCCTGCGCTGAATCTGTACTGGAAGACGCTCAGTGACAGACAGATTGGCAAACTCGTGACACGACATGACTACTGGACCTCTCTCCTTGATGAAGACATTCGCAGACCCACAAACCAAGACAACCTTTTCTACTCCTTGCATGATCCTGCTCCTAACCCTATTTACAAATAACCTTGGATTCTCCGAGAGGTACCTTCTATGACAGGTACCATTCTCTGATCCACGTTCGCCTTACCCTTTGGGTTAAGACATGGCTCAGTTCTACACTCCTCTCTAGCTCTAAACGTCGCATGTCCCTTCCTTCCCGCTCGCCCCACCGGAGTCCCAACAGAAGAGCCTGAATTTCTCTTCTCAATATCTGTCCCACGATCGCCTCGCTGCTGGGTTAAGCCCTGGCTCTAATTCTACGACTAAGAACACTCCTCTCCAGCATTGTTCTTCGTCTGTCCCGTCTTCCCCGCTCATCTCATTTGGGATCTTACCTGAACTTTCGTTCGTTACTTCTCGTTCCCGCACCTACATCCCCATCACACAATCTGTCACTGTACTTGGCGCTAATCTTGATTACCTTCTTCGCTTACACGGACACATTCACTCAAGACATGCAATAGCTAGTAAGGCCCTTGCGGGCCTCTACAAGCTGCAACATGCCTCCCAATGCACCAAACTACACCTCTACAAATCCCTAATACGTCTTCTGATAACTCACTCTCCTCTAGTCCTCTCTCTTGCAGCAAAAACAAACTTACTTAAACTGAAGCGTGTCCAGAACAAGGCGCTGCGCTGGGTGCTTGATGTCAGATGGGAGGACTTCGCCACAAGCGAGTCTCTCCATGCCCAATTAGACATCCCTGCGCTGAATCTGTACTGGAAGACACTCAGTGACAGACAGATAGACAAACTTGAGACATGACATGACTACTGGACCTCTCTCCTTGACGAAGACATTAGCAGACCCACAAACCAACGCAACCTTTTCTACTCCTTGTATGATCCTGCTCCCAACCCTATTTACAAATAACCTTGGATTCTCTGAGAGGTACCTTCTCTGACAGGTACCATTCTCTGACCCACGTTCGCCTTAGCTTTTGGGTTAAGACATGGCTCAGTTCAACACTTCTCTCTAGCGCTAATCTTCGCCTGTCCCGTCCTCCCCGCTCACCACACCGGAGTCCCAACAGAAGAGCCTGAATTTCTCTTCTCAATGTCTGTCCCACGATCGCCTTCACTGCTGGGTTAAGCCCTGGCTGTATTTCTACAACTAAGAACACTCCTCTCCAGAGCTACTCTTCGTCTGTCCCGTCTTCCCCGCCCACCCCATTTGGGATCATACCTGAACTTGTTCGTTCGTTCGAACTTCTCGTTAGTGTAACTTTGTAAATGGTCCAAGTCGTAAGCTCCTCTCTTCTATGTGCGGGTTATTTGTGTATTGTGTAATGCTAAACTTTTATTGTTGCAACGTTTCACTCTCCAGAAGCTTTGTCAAGCCGCTACAAACAATATAAGGATATAGAGGGTATATATAGGTTTTAGACTGAGGCGCAAGGTTGTAGATAGTAGTAGTAATACTAGTACGTGGGAGGAGTGTAGCAAGAGTGTGGCAAAAGTAATAGCAACTATGTGATGGCGGAGTATATTGTTTTGTCAAAGTTCCTGGAGAGAGAAACGTTGTCACAATAAAAATATCGTATTAACTGCACATACGTCTTTTTACCTAACATATTTTCGGTAATTATACCGACATTATTACAGTGCAAGACTGTCAATGAACTTCCACCTGGCCTCTTTATTAATCCAAGAACAAATATTGACAAACATCTTGGTGCTGAAACTAAACCATTATGGAATCTGAGTGCTAGCTCTCACTTACATAAAGTTCTGTCTTACAGACGTCAGAATAACGTCAATGACACTAACTTATCAACCCAAGTTCTCAACACAGTGAACCACTGGGTAACATCCTCCGACCCACTATTACTGATCGGTTATATCAGTGACCTACCAAATGTCTCCGAGGAACTTAAACCAATTCTGTTTTTAGATGACACAACATTTCTCATATCTAAATCAGACCCTAGTGCAATTGTTCTTGTTAACAGCCTATATCAGACCCTAGTGCAATTGTTCTTGTTAACAGCCTATATCAGACCCTAGTGCAATTGTAAGTACCATTTTAATTTGTATTTTTATATTATAAGTTTACACCTAGTTGTACTTTAGCTCATTCTAGCTCAATACATAGACAATAATAAATTCATTATATTAGACCTTAATGCAATTACAAGAGTGAGTCTGGTGCCACTTGTAATTTGTTTGTTTTTTATAGTATTAGTTTATACCTAGTTGTACTTTAGCTCATTCTAGCACAACACATAGACAATATCAATTTCATTATGTTTATAAGAACATAAGAACATAAGAACATAAGAAAGGAAGAACACTGCAGCAGGCCTGTTGGCCCATACTAGGCAGGTCCTTTACAATTCATCCCACTAACTTACAATTCATCCCACTAACTTACAATTCATCCCACTAACTTACAATTCATCCCATTATTAGTGACTATACTCTATATGATCAAAGTGCTTTAGCGGTATACTTATCCAAACCTCCCACCACTACAGAAATCAGTATTAAAACTCACCACATAATACAGGATATAAACAACCACTATTTAAACCTAAAAGATGAATGATCACGTTGACCCTGATCTAAACCTCCATAATCTAACACACAATCAAAACTTATTGGAAAGTAACTGCCTTTATTACACAGCATCACAAGCCAGCACTGTCCTGGACACTGCTCAAAGTCTATCAGTTCTTAACTACAACATCAGGTCCTTAAGCAAACACTATGATGACCTCCTGGCACTCCTTGAGTCACTAAAGACACCCTTCTCCTTCATTATTCTTACTGAGACCTGGCTTAAGCAGGACACAATTGATATCTACCCTCTACCAGGATACACAGCAATCCACAACTGCAGACCATACCAAGTTGGGGGTGGTACTGCAATCTATTTCTCCAACCAATTATCTTGTATTAGCACTAATTGCTTTAGCGATGAATATGGAGAATACATTTTTGCTAATTTTACTGTAAAAAACCTCAAGACGCCTATAACAATCGGTGCCATATACCGGATACCCCACACAAACATCCCAAACTTCAGTGAGAATCTAAAGTCACTAGTAACAAGCAGACAAATGAACAAGCACCACCTTCTCTTAGCTGGAGACTTCAATATCAACCTTGGCCTACCAGATGTTCAGACTACAATTGATTTCATCAACAATATGAATAACACACTTCTCATACCAACAATAACTAAACCAACCAGGCTGACTGAGACAATGGCAACCATAATAGACCACATATGGACCAATATACTAGCCCCCCTTAAATCAGGGATAATCACAGACAGCACTACTGACCACTACACAACCTTCCTCTTAACAAACATTAGGAAGCCACCACTCGAATACAACAAAGTTTCATTTAGACTCCATGACGAGGCCTCAATAAGGAATTTCACAACAGACCTAGAGACTGTTGACTGGCCTACAGAATTTTCCAATGCCAATGGCATTGACGATTGAACAGACATTTTTCTTAACAAAATACTTAGACTATACAACAAACATTATCCTATAAAAACGAAACAGATCACGAATAAACGGCTTGGTTGCCCATGGCTAACCAGCAGCATTCTGAAATCCATTGATAAGAAACACCAATATGAAAAGCAATATAAATAACAAAAAGGCACAATACCGTGACTGGAACGATACACAAATAACCCGCACATAAAAGACAGAAGCTTACGACGACGTTTCGGTCCGACTTGGACCATTGACAAAGTGACTTTGTCAATGGTCCAAGTCGGACCGAAACGTCGTCGTAAGCTTCTGTCTTTTATGTGCGGGTTATTTGTGTAAAAGCAATATAGACAGGGCTTAATACACAAAGATATTCTTAAACAATATTCAACAGTTCTCACCAAATTAATAAAGAAAGCCAAACAACTGTACTACTCCAGCAGATTCACTGACATAAGAGGATATATAAAAAAGACCTGGAAAACACTTTCCCAGATTCTGGGGACCCACAAACTGAAAAAAAACAAGTATATTGTTCTAACTAAACCTCATGAAACACCACTGCATCCCACTGATACAGCTAACAAGGTAAATGACTTCTTCTCAAACATAGGATCTAATCTCGCCAGTAAAATCCCACGTACCAATGCCCGTGCCGGGGACTACCTAGATGAGAATTTCCCAAATTCCTTCTGTCTTGTACCAACTGAGCCCACGGAAGTCACCGCGATCTTAAAGTCACTTAAAAATAACTCGAGGAATCTGTCTCACGTCCCACCATTATTGTACAAGCGAGCGGCCCATGTCCTTTCGCATGTTATTACATTACTTTTTAAAAAGTCACTAGAAACTAGCACTTTCCCGACACTACTCAAGACAGCAAGGGTTACACCAATACATAAAGGTGGTGACCCTACAGACTTAAACAACTATAGGCCAATATCAAACTTACCATTGCTATCCAAAATCTTCGAGAAACTCGTGCACAGGAGACTATATTCATTTATAACATCACAAAACATACTTAACCCCTGCCAATTTGGATTCAGGAAAAATAAAAGCACTAATGATGCAATTATAAAAATGCTAGACCTGCTTTATACAGCATTGGAAAATAAGGAATATCTGCTAGGAATTTTTATTGACCTAAGAAAAGCGTTTGACACAGTAGACCACGGCATCCTACTCCACAAACTTGACCACTATGGTATAAGAGGCCATGCGCTTGCATATTTTAAATCCTACCTCTCTAATAGGTATCAGTATGTCACCAATAAAGACACAGCCTCATCAATATGGCCACTTGATACTGGAGTTTTGCAGGGAAGTGTCCTTGGACCCCTGCTCTTCCTCGTTTACATCAATGATCTTCCAAACATATCCCAACACCTGAAACCCATTCTCTTTGTTGACGACACGACTTATATCATTTCCCACCCTAATCTTGCCACCCTCAACACCATTGTTAACGAGGAGCTGCTCAAAATATCGACTTGGATGACAGCCAATAAACTTACACTTAACACTGGCAAAACCTACTATATTATGTTTGGTAGCAGAGCAGGTGTTGTGCAACTTAACATTAAGATCGATAACACTCTAATTGCCAGACATAATGAGGGCAAATTCCTTGGCCTATACCTCGACAACAACCTAAATTTCAGCACCTATATCCAACACATAACAAAAAAAGTATCCAAAACGGTGGGGATCCTGTCCAAGATATGCTACTACATACCGCAAACTGCCTTTCTCACACTATACCATTCACTTATATATCCATACCTCACCTATGCTATCTGTGCTTGGGGTTCAACTTCAGCAACACACCTAAAGCCAATAATAACCCAACAAAAAGCCGCAGTAAGAATAATCACTAAATCCCATCCCTGGTAACACCCCCCCCCCCACTCTTCATAGATCTAAACTTACTCCCTGTTCAGAACATCCACACTTACTACTGTTCAATCTATATCTACAGGACCTTAAATTCCAATATTAACCTTGACTTAAAACGCTTTCTTGATAGTTGTGACAGGATCCACATGCATAACACTAGACACAAACATCTCTATGACATTCCCCGTGTCCGACTAAAACTTTACAAAAATTCAATGTATTTCAAAGGACCTAAAATCTGGAACACCCTACCTGAAAACTCTAGAACTGCAGACACATTCACCACATTCAAAACTACAGTTAGAAAACATCTTATCTCCCTGATCCACCCTGACAACTAACTACATGATAACCACCTGGTGGTTCAAAATTACACTTACTCACCCACTGACTATAAACCCAGAAATACTTATCTTAATCTTAAAATAATAAATCCTAACTAGTCATAAGTTTGCCTATGATACTCAAATATAGACACCTTGTATTGTGCCAAAACAAAAGCATTCACATTGCTAAACTCACAAATTATGATGTAGTCACTTAGCCTTAATACCATAATCTGTAAGGACTTAATGTTAAGAATTAATCTAAGTGTGCTCAAAATACCTAGCCATGCTAGGTGTCCTAGTGGCTCCCTCTGTAATTAGTATTTTATAACATGTAAACCACAAAATACCCAAAACCTGTAAACCCCACATTGTAACATTATAGAGAATAAACTCACTTTCATCAGTATAATTCAACATATGTAACAACTACTAACATGTCTTACTTCAGTACCCACCAATATAAATTTCAAGACTACCTAAAATGCTCTGCATAAAAAGGGGGTTTGAAAAGAACGTAAGAAAGAACGAGCACTGCACCAGGCCTACTGGCCCAAGCTAGACACGTCCAACTTTTTCTAAAGTACTTTTTTGTGTCAGTTCATTTTATATCAGTTGTTTAGTGCACTTATAGAAATAAAGTTGTCATTGTCATTGTCAAAAATCTCTTACATAAGAAGGGCGGGTCATCTTACTAATATGTTAAAATCAAGAGAAATTTAAGGAAAATTAATTAAAGGGTAAAGAAAATGTGATTTGTTTGCAAACAAATTTACGATCAATACGATTAATTCAGTCTATACGTATAACCTTCCGATGATCTGGGTTACTTAATCGCTGTTGTGAGGTTTGAGCGGCTTAAACACTGGAGACTGGGCAGTGTCTCGGCACATTTCTTTAGGCCTAAATGGTGGAAACATTTCCACTTTCGTAAAATTATGTGTCTGGTGTAAATAGGAAGGAAAATGTTGTACTGATCCTGTTAAAGGTTTTGTCTGAAGTTGCTATGACGGCTGTCTGTCTCCCACCTGACGAGGACTGAACTATTTTTATGGCAAAATGACTACTGAAGATTGCTTGTTAATCCAAGAGCAGAGCAACGAGAACTTCTACTAACAACATTCTCTCTGGTTTCCCCTCACACATAACTGTGACTGAGGTTAGTACCTAAACTGGCAATATTATTAACTCTTTACCCTCACCTGTTTTCTCGCAGACAGTCAGGGCCGGATTTAGGGGACGGGCCTCAGGGCCCAGGCCCTGGGCCCCAAACCAAATGATGAAAAATATTATGACACACATTATACTGAGAACTGAATAGATCACAAAGAGAGAAAATGTATGCAAGAGTGTGAATTGTGGTGGGATTGTCATCTGATTGCTGGAGTTACATCATCGGTGTGAGCGTGTTGTCAGCTGCATGATGCGAGGATGACTGACAGCACATCATCATCCTGGGTGTGCAGGGCGCTGCAGTAAGAATAACTGCCTGATCGTGGTCAGTATGTAGTGAGAGCCGGCTACGAATGAGCATGAAGGAAGGGCGGCTTGTGAACCTGATGGTCATGAGCATAGAATATGACATCCTGTGCTCGTTGGATTTCCATGGAGTCATCAGAAAGTTTTCCATCAGAAAAGCACGGAACGTACCTGGCTTATAACATTTTATCTGATTGAAGATAACTCCTCATAAGTCTGTATTTTACTTTTGAGTTACACTTGCAAATGAACCGATGCTGCTAAAATACACCATAAATCCAATTTATTGTTTCATTACTTCATCTTAAGAGGATGGTATGTATATTGAGAGTGGCGAAAGTTTTCCAAGGAGAAACTTAAAAGTTTTCTAACTATTAGATTAGAACTTTCGAATTCAAGGGCCCCCCACCAAACTGGGCCCCGGGCCCCCAACCACCGAAATTCGGCACTGCTGTTGTCTATGTTCAACCATCAGTAAAACAGGTATCTGGGTGTTAGTTGACTGGTGTGGGTTGCATCCTGGGACAAAACTGACCTAATTTGCCCGAATGCTCAGCATAACAAGTGAATTTCTATACAGTAGTATGTCACTGATGTCAGCCACGACTGTATACCTTGTACATGTACTTGTAGTAAATATAGATATTATTATTATTATCATTATTATTATTATTATTATTATTATTATTATTATTATTATTATTATTATTATTATTATTATTATTATTATTATTGTTATTATTGTTGTTGTTGTTGTTATTATTTTTGTTGTTGTTGTTGTTGTTTTTGTTGTTATTATTTACTGCATCTGCAGTCAGGCTGGGGAAAAGTTCGTTAGGTTTGGTCAGTTCATTTTCTCTGGTGTCAGCAATATAATGTGAGCCCAGAAGTTCTTTGACACTGTTGTCATAATACAGTTGTTTAGATTTCTTTATTCATTCTAGGTAATTGACTGATCTGATTTCCCGGTGAGGAACATAAGCTCTTTACAGGAAGCTTGCACAACACTTTGAAAAATCTCATGTTGTCAATACTTTATATTACTGACACGGAGGTTTATTATCTCTGTGTTACATTGTATTGCAGACTCAGTGATTCTAAAGCTATGTTCTCTTTTGTAGTAAGTTCAAGGTACTGGAGAAATATAATATAACATCAGTGTTGTGACAAAAACAGAGCCGTGGAGAGACCAAACCAATCTAATGTCAAACATATCATTTGAAGGATTGTAAATTAGCTTCACTAAACACAAATCGTGTTCACCGCTTTATAAATACCTCGGTAAAAGTCAGGAAAATAGATAGAAAGCTAATTTTTATGTATTTTTATTTTCATCATCACATCGTTCATATAAACAATGACACTCAAACATTCTTCCACTCAGCTCTACTACTTATGGCGCCAAACACACGATTTTTGGGAGGGATATTTCTGTTGTATATAATACAAAATAAAGCGTGCATTTCAGACTTATAAATATTGAGAGTTATACGCGAGTGTGAATGTATGAATATATATTTACAAATTTATAAATACCTTAATTGATATTACTTGGAAAGGAAATATATAATGCCTTGTTGATAATACTTCTCCTTGCTGATCCAGCCAGGAAGTAGTATTGAAGGAAAGTATGTAATGATTACTTGGAGAATGTTTGAAACGCAGGATGAATTGAAGAACGGCGTTTTTCAAGGGCTTAGTTAAAAGATAACCTTGAATGATAGTATAAATGACGGTTCATTGAAGAATTGCATGTGAATGGTAGGGGAAGGATTTGTTTATGGACGTTGCAGGTGAATGAACGTAGGTGAGAATGTGCCGAGAGGTATGCAAGAAGGGCAATACCCAGAAGAGTTCAGAAAAATGATGCCTTCACCTATTTCAAAAGCGTTAAGGAACTGGAGTGAGGCAACCATAGGATGAGTCTGAGAGATGACGAGAGCTGTAAGAGGATACTTCAGGGCTCAAGTAATAAAATAATTCTCAATAGAATTGGGAAACGTAATGTCCAAAATAAAGTTTTGAGATTGCTTCTAGTCTTAAGGCGATGTAATAATACAGGAGAAAGTCGGCTTTACTAGGCAGGTGAGTTTATGAGTACTAGACTGATTTGCTGAATGAGTACCGGAGCGAGGAAGTCTTCAAGTAATCTTAAGCAAAGAGAATGAGAGAGACCATAATGTTTTGTGGACAAGACAATTTAAATATTCTTATCAAGTTGGCTGGTTAAGATGGGGGACTCAGAATATTCGAAGTGAGAGGATTACTCCTGGAGTAGACGTGAGGGGGCTGGATGGTCAACTCGTGGAGTGGATATGAAAGGGATTTATTATGAACTTTGGTAACTGATATCAGAAAGGTAGAGTAGTTAGACTGGAGAAGAAGGAGATGACTTTTGAAGCATTTGCTATCGAAATATTAAAAAGTAAAATATGCATCCTGGTAGTGCAGGATATGATTTGGGAGGTATTCAACGGGAAGAAGGTATATGGAGAGAAAGTGATGAGGCAAACGGGATGTATCTATAACGAGTGGTTAATGAACCGGGAGAAAGGGCAGGAGAAGGGGCAGCGTTATTATTGTTGTAGGGAAGGGTTTTGATGGACGAAGATATCGACGACAGTAGCAGCTCGCTTGACCTTGTCGTGTTGCAGTTTGTTTGTGTCGTGGATCTGGTAGACGCGCTCCTCGGGGTCCTGACCGTACTCGAGGTCGAGGCCATTGATGTTACGAGGGTAGAACACCACTTGTCCATCTTTTAGTGTGGGAGGACTTTCGAGGTAAATGTCATTGGGTTGACCGTCACCTCTGGGAGCCTTCGCTCTAAAGAAATCGTATATAATGATCAATAACAATACATGAACTAGAGCCTGAAAGAGTTTACTATAATCACTCCTGGCCGTCGCCCTAGTGACTGTTTGAATCGCCTTAAACTAAACTCATTCATGAAATGATAAAAATTGTCTGTACATCTAAGAATAGGATTTTATATAAATTTTAGAAGAGGTAATTCACTAAAGAAGATTGTTAAAACTGACAAATTTATTATATTTCTCATAATCGAAGAGACAAAACTACACTGTTTTCCAATAGCTTTCAATCCAATGTTAATTAAATTTCTCATCATCTTTATTTTAGCAAGACAATTCATTCTTGAAACATAGGCGAAGAATTATGAGCCCAGTTACTCTCAGGGAAAGTGATTTTATAAGGTGGTAAAGAGAAAAGGCAAGATGGACAGGGAGGTGATGGTTAAGTATGGTGTAGCTCAGGATACACCAATTAGTACATTGTTTCACCTACACGAGACTTTATCAGGTACACAGTAGTCTCCTGTAGGTGAAACGACTCACTGATAAAGGTCTCCCTTTATTGCACGGGGAAAACTGAAACAGGAAAAATTCCAAATGAATTTATTGAGGAAAACATAAAGAACTCAAATGATTAACTGGAAAATTTGAAGGCCTCTGGAATTAAGTGATCGTGTGAAGCGCTGATATATCTATTTTTTGATGTGCTAGAAGATCTACGACATTGAGAAATAAGCAATGCGTGGAATCTTGAATTAAAGAAAAGGAACTTCATGATATTGAAAAAAATAATCAATAACATACGCTTAAGCATAAGCAAAACATAAATTTCTAAAGAAAGTAGGATGAATGACGTGTAAATATAGTTGTTAATGGCTTATAAATGATGTTCTTGGAAAGGTCTACAGTGAGTTGGAAGTGTATAAAGAAATGAAACAGTGTACAAGAAGTTAGATTTGCCTACAGGGAAATGAAGTTTATAGGTAGCTACAGTAGAGTGGTCTACAGGATGCTGGAAAGGTCTCCTGGAATTAAAAGGATCCATGAGGAGTCGGAATGGTATATAAGGTAAATCCTTGTAAATTGCTCCAGTTTCTGCATTGAGTTAGAAGAATATGCAGGTAATTGAAAGAGGCTGCAGGAAGCTCGAAGGATCTCTTAGGAGCTGGAAAAGTTTACAGAGGGTTGGAAAGTCTACAGGAAGTTGGACAGTTTTACAGGGTGCTAGAAGGTCTGAAGGGAACTGGAAAGATTTACAGGAAACTGAAAAGCTTTACAGAGAGCTGGAAGGTCTAAACTTGGGAAGGTTTACAGGGAGCTGAATGAGTCGACTGAATGTCGGAAGGATCTTCAGGGAGTTGACAAGTCCTGTGCGAAATGAATATCAAGGCAGCAGTGTACACAACCTGGGAAGTTAGGAGATCTCTGAAAGGATAAAATATAATACCATAGGGGGCGATGGTAGGGTAGGAGGCTGCAGTGTGAATGAGAGAGAGAGAGAGAAAGAGAGAGAGAGAGAGAGAGAGAGAGAGAGAGAGAGACTTAGATAACATAAAATTAAGAAAGCTGACGTACCTGACATTTTCACGAGGAATGTAGCCGTGGAAGGATAAGCTCTCTGCTCCGCTCTGCGCCTCCGTCAACTGGAGGACAACACTCGCGGAGATCATTAGCAATACGACCTTCCACTGTGGTGCAGCACAGGAGCAGAAACAACACACATTATTAACAAAGACGAGCTTCCTGCTTCCAGTGTCATATTTTTTTATCATCCTTAACAAAACAGAGGATATTAAAATGCATATAATTACTTTTAATTTCACTTATAGTCTCCAGGAGCACTAAATCTTGGGAGAACTAAATCTAGGGAAAACTGTCAACACTGAGAGTATTGTGAAGGAAGTTTTCATGAGGAAAAAAAATGGATTGAGACGCACCATAAGAATATTAAAATAAATATTCTTCACGATATCTTCATAAATTTCTGTTTCCGTGTGTGTGATATATCATCTTGAGATATCTGTTTTTCCTTACAACAACAAGTCCAATTCTGATGAACTAAATCTTTGACGATACCGTAGCTACTGATCCCATTGTGCAATACTTGACGACATCCCCACAGTGAAGCCTGGCCCCAGGACGGGCCGGGAGAGAAGGAGAACTCTCGAAACTGATCATTGGTAAATCACAGGTAAAGCCCTAATGAGTTTCCCGGAAAATTCTTACGGAGTTCATTACAAAGAATTTGAAAAATCTTTATCTGTCAAGAAATATGAGGGAGAAACGTTGCTGTCTTTCATTTCCAAATCTAAATCTCATGTAAAATAAGAGGAGATGAAGACTGAAGATGTATTTAATACTTGTATTGTTAACTAAGTAAAGCTGATCGCCAGGATGCCTCAGAGAATTACTAGGTACTAGGAGGTCCTTGGTTCGATCCCGGTATGGCTGGTAACTTTAGGCATGTTTCTCTAAGACATTTGCTAAACCACTTTACTAAGCAGTAGATAGGTACCTAGGTGTTAACCGACTGGTGTGAGTCAAAATTTACCTAATTAGCCCCAAATTCTCTGCATAACAATGGCGTTTCAAAATAGTATGTCACTGATGTTCTGTATACGTTGTACACGTACTTGTAGAAATAATAATAATAATAATAATAATAATAATAATAATAATAATAATAATAATAATAATTATTATTATTATTATTATTATTATTATTATTATTATTATTATTATTATTATTATTATTATCATTATTATTATTATTATTATTATTATTATTATTATTATTATTACTATTCTTATTATTATTATTATTATTATTGTGCAAGACAGGTATACAATACCGACAAGATGAAAGTTAAGACACTTGGGCAACAACTGGTTATCAGTCCCTCAGTCTTGGAGGTGGTGTTTACAACACCGTGGTTGTAGAGAATCTCTACAACCACGGTGTTGTAAACACCACCTCCAAGGCTGAGGGACTGATTACCTCATCTTTTGTATATAGTTCTTCTGTTTTCTAATTATGTCCAAGCCACTGGATGGCGAAACGTCTACAATAAAGATAACCAGATGTTGCACAAGTGTCTTAACTTTCATTACTATTATTATTATTATTGGAATAGGTGGTAAGTTACTAAATGCTGTAAAGAGCTTTGATGAGGATAATGAGACTCAGGTTAGGGTGTGTAGAAGAGAGGGAGAATACTTCCCGGTAAAAGTAAGTCTTAGACAGGGATGTGTAATGTCACCATGGTTGTTTAATATATTTATAGATGGGGTTGTAAAACAAGTAAATGCTAGGGTGTTCGGGAGAGGGGTGGGATTAAATTATGGGGAATCAAATAAAAAATGGAAATTGACACAGTTACTTTTTGCTGATGATACTGCGCTTATGGGAGATTCTAAAGAAAAAATGCAAACCTGGAGTTTACCTGGAGAGAGTTCCGGGGGTCAACGCCCCCGCGGCCCGGTCTGAGACCAGGCCTCCTGGTGGATCAGAGCCTGATCAACCAGGCTGTTGCTGCTGGCTGCACGCAAACCAACATACGAGCCACAGCCCGGCTGATCCGGAACTGACTTTAGGTGCTTGTCCAGTGCCAGCTTGAAGACTGCCAGGGGTCTGTTGGTAATCCCCCTTATGTGTGCTGGGAGGCAGTTGAACAGTCTCGGGCCCCTGACACTTATTGTATGGTCTCTTAACGTGCTAGTGACCCAAAGGTTAGTGGACGAGTTTGGGAGTGTGTGCAAAGGTAGAAAGTTGAAAGTGAACACAGAAAAGAGTAAGGTGATGATGGTATCAAATGATTTAGATAAAGAAAAATTGGATATCAAATTGGGGAGGAGAAGTATGGAATAAGTGAATGTTTTAAGATATTTGGGAGTTGACGTGTCTGTGGATGGATTTATGAGGGATGAGGTTAATCATAGAATTGATGAAGGAAAAAAGGTGAGTGGTGCGTTGACGTATATGTGGAGATAAAAAAACGTTATCTATGGAGGCAAAGAAGGGAATGTATGAAAGTATAGTAGTACCAACACTCTTATATGGGTGTGAAGCTTGGGTTGTAAATGCAGCAGCGAGGAGGCGGTTGGAGGCAGTGGAGATGTCCTGTCTAAGAGCAATGTGTGGTGTAAATATTATGTAGAAAATTCAGAGTGTGGAAATTAGGAGAAGGTGTGGAGTAAATAAAAGTATTAGTCAGAGGGCTGAAGAGGGGTTGTTGAGGTGGTTTGGTAATTTAGAGAGAATGGATCAAAGTAGAATGACATGGAGAGCGTATAAATCTGTAGTGGAAGGAAGGCGGGGTAGGGGTCGTCCTCGAAAAGGTTGGAGGGAGGGAGTAAAGGAGGTTTTGTGGGCGAGGGGCTTCGACTTCCAGCAAGTGAATGGAGACGAATGGCATTTGGGACCTGACGAGCTTTTGGAGTGTGAGCAGAGTAATATTTAGTGACGGGATTCAGGGAAACCGGTTATTTTTATGTAGCCGGAAATGGGAAGTACAATGCCTGCACTTTAAAGGAGGGGTTCGTGATATTGACAGTTTGGAGGGATATGTTGTGTATCTTTATACGTATATGCTTCTAAACTGTTGTGCTCTGAGCACCTCTGCAAAAGCAGTGATTATGTGTGAGTGAGGTGAAAGTGTTGAATGATGATGAAAGTATTTTCTTTTTGGTGATTTTATTGATTTTTTGGGTCACCCTGCCTCGGTGGGAGCCGGCCGACTTGTTAAAAAAATGGAAAAAAAATTGTAACAACTTTCATCGATAATTTATAGAGACCTAGAAGCAACAACAATGACGTATGAAGATCTCCAAGCAACAACAATGAAGTATGAAGATCTCCAAGCAACAACAGTGAGGTATGAAGATCTCCAAGCAACAACAGTGAAGTATGAAGACCTCCAAGCAACAACAGTGAGGTATGAAGACCTCCAAGCAACAACAGTGAGGTATGAAGACCTCCAAGCAACAACAGTGAGGTATGAAGACCTCCAAGCAACAACAGTGAAGTAAGAAGGCCTCCAAGTAACAACAGTGAGGTATGAAGACCTCCAAGCAACAACAGTGAGGTATGAAGGCCTCCAAGCAACAACAGTGAAGTATGAAGACCTCCAAGCAACAACAGTGAGGTATGAAGACCTCCAAGCAACAACAGTGAGGTATGAAGACCTCCAAGCAACAACAGTGAGGTATGAAGACCTCCAAGCAACAACAGTGAGGTATGAAGACCTCCAAGCAACATAAACAATAATGGTCTGAAATATTTTAAGAAGAGAAAATGGTGAGGTGAAAAAAGTGTTGTTTTGCGTCTTATTTTTCCTAGGACTTTGATTCTTGTAAACTGTATTATGAAAAATCTTTGGAATTAAATAACTTATAAAGTAAAAACTACGACTCTGTATGTTTAGTTAATGAACAAATTATTCGTGTAAAATAAGAGCATATGCTGACGGAAAATAACACTGTACGCAACATATTATGTATGGAATTTAACACTAAGATTTTTTTTTACCGTGAATTAGATTTTGTAATATGATACAATAATGAAAAGTTAGTTTATATCACTGCATAACACAACTGAACAGTGATCCTCGCTGTGATCTTAAGTTATTGTGCAAATCTTTAAGAAACACAACTTAGATATTCACAAGTTTATGAGAAGGTGAGGGTAAAGTTTTTAACTTGTAAGTAATAAGAAAGATGAGTGAGTAGGAGGCAGCTTACCATGGTTGTCAGTGTACCTTGCTTGTAAGCTGACTGATGTCTTAGATGGTACTGATACCTCTCCTGCCTCCTCCACCATATTTATGCTTCTGATGTGACCTCTACAACACTGAGGATCATTACCACTCTTACCTCACTCGTCGTGTGTACATGTGTGTACTTGTGAGTGTGTGCTGAGGTGCACATGGGAAACATTACACAGGAAGAGCGAGACGTGAGCTAATACCGGAAGAACGTATAGTTTGTTTGTTTGTTTGTTTTGTTTACTCAGGTTATTACAGTACACAAGTATATCATACGTGATGAATTAAGCCCTTGTGCAATACTTGGGTATATTTATTGTGGAAACGTTTCGCCCACCAATGACTTTCTCAGTACAATACAGAGAAGATTCAGTCCATCAACCTTGATAAATTTGATGGACTCATTATATCCATCTATCAGTGTTGATAAGATTGATAAAATCATCACATTCGTCCATCAGTCTTGATAAGATTGATAAAATCATCACATTCGTCCATCAGTCTTGATAAGATTGATAAACTCATCACATTCGTCCATCAGTCTGATAGATTGATAAACTCATCACATTCGTCCATCATCTTGATAAGATTGATAAACTCATCACATTCGTCCATCAGTCTTCATAAGATTGATAAACTCATCACATTCGTCCATCAGTCTTGATAAGATTGATAAACTCATCACATTCGTCCATCAGTCTTCATAAGATTGATAAACTCATCACATTCGTCCATCAGTCTTCATAAGATTGATAAACTCATCACGTCGCCTCCAGCTGAGGGACAGATTACTTTGAACTCATTTTGTCCTTCAACTATTCTTCTCTGTATTGGACTGAGGAAGTCATTGGTTGGCCTAAAGTTTCCACACTCAAGTGTTGCATAATTGTCTAATTCATCATCTTGTGGGTTTTCTTAACTATTTATCTACTTATAAAATTCGTGACAACATAATTTACAATGAATTATTTTCTAAATTTGGTGACTCATACTATACACACCTTCAGGAGTAGGTATGACAGTGACCTAAAAGCAAGGAACCAGAATTACTGGGTCAA